TCCTGATTATAGTCCATTACAATCAGTTTTGGATCATGATTATATCTTTTAAGAAAATTTTAAGATCTTGATTATATCTTTTAAGAAATTTTAGGATCCTAAATAAGAAAAGATCTTAAATAAGATCTTAAATAGGATCTTAAATAAGATCTTGTTCCTAAATAGGATCCTGTAAGATCTTACAGGATCTTATAGGATCTTGTAGGATCTTAAATAAGATTTCTACCAGGGGAGCGTTATTTTGAAGGGTTAACCGCTATATTTCGACATATACTTATTATATGCTATTTGAACGCCAGGGTTGGGCAAATTCAACGAGTAAAAACGTTACAAAAGCATACTTAGATGTATAAAAAACAGCAAATCATTATACGCTTTATTATGCCAATAACTAATTATATAGTAATGCATGGTTGCACGCATATATAATAAACTAAACACTGTTCCAGAACACCGTGTTCACTCCATTTCGTATCGTTCCAGAACAGTGTTCCAAATGTTCTAGAACAGAAACAGGTGGGAAATTTGTCGTCGCTGACCAAAAAATTGCGGGCAGAAGCAAAGCTCATTGCATTTACATTCAAAACAAAGCAGAAAGTTAGCAAGAAGCTGTTTTAGCTGACGATTTTTTGCTTTCCATTCAACGATTTACAAGTTATTGGTTATTCTTTTAAAAGTCGATCATGAATTCTTTGTTTTGGAATGATTGTTTTGTAATCGAGTGATTGGAAGAAGTTAATATGACGACGTGAACATGGGAGTAAATACCGTATACGTCGATCTATGGCTTGTTTAAAACCGTAATAAACGAAAAAAGACGTGATTTGAGAATGAAATGTAAGTTGAAATTAACTTTATATGCCTCAAATTTTCCATCCTATGTTTCTTAATGTAACTTCAGCTGTCTAAGTTCAAAATACAAGCTCGCGAAATTTGACAAATTTTGAAAATATGTAAAAATAGCTTGACTTTGAACTGTATTTTCTCAAAAATAGCCCGTGGCCTCAATTTCAAATATAGCTAAATGAAAAGAAAAACTTTTCGGCGTTTGTAGGTATCAAACATATCGTCAGGAAAATAGGGGCTCACAATGTTTTAGTTCAGTCTTTGAGACCCAGTTGCTTCGCACGTGTTGTGGTCAAATTTTTGCCAAGAATCAAAGGCCGAAATGTGAACTTCCTTCATGAAAACCGCTTCGAGAAGGGTCTAATTTGAAAATTTAGCTATTAATTTCGATTTCATGAGCATATTTTGGTTACACGTTAAGTATTTTTGTGCTTGATGAGATTCAAAATTTGTTGTATATATATTCAAGCCCGGCTTTTGTGTAATTTTGGTGATGACCCGAACAGAAATAAAGATATTTTAAAAACTGGCCGTGGCCTCACGATAAAACTTTCTACAAATGTTCTCTGTTTCATGTACTTTTATTTGATATCTTAGGTATAAGCGTAAAAATAGGGGCTCATACAGTTTAAGAGGTTGTAAAATGCATGACTTGCCTCTATTTTCATGTAAACATTCGAAATTCTTCGACAGCAAAGTAGCAACTGTTTCAGATCGAATGCACACGGACAGCCCACCAGAGACAATGGCAGGGTACTGAAATAGAACGTCACTAAAAAATTCTGTATGATTAATTTAGATCATGTCTACTCTTTCAACATAAAACAGTAATTTATTTTGTACAAACATTTGGCAATATCTACACGATTGTGCCTTTTTGTAAACACGCGTTGCGTGTATTCCACGCCATTGCGTGGTTCATTTTACTCGCGCATGCTCAGACAAATTTCCCACCTGTTCTAGAACAGTCAATGGAGTAGCCTGCTGGAGTTAGCATTGCATGAAGTGTATGTATGTAGAAACAAAGCATACTCCATTAAACGACGCGTGTGGGATTTGCAGAGGCGAACATGTTCAAATGATCAACAATAATTTCTAAACAAGTATATACATGTAGATGAAGGCCAAAAGAAGCAGGTTAGTAGGACGTTAAAATGCCACCTCGCCATGCACGTACGAAGAAACACATAACATTGTAGAGTCGCCGTCGTGGAAAGGAACTGTGGATCACAGAATAAAGATGAGTAACAGAAGGGCCACTCAGGGTTGCAACGTGTCCGCATTTTTTTATGCAAAAATATGCAGTTTACTGTCCAGAAGGCGGAGCAGCCAGCCAGTACAGCGTGTTTATTGGCCAGAAAATGTCATTGACTGGCTAGGACAATGGCGGCCTACATGCGTAATGCGACATGCGCGAAGATAGAAACTTAAAAGCTTCCGACGTAAGTGGCCCCTTCTATATGGATCTTTATTCTATGCTGTGGATGCACGTTGCTTTCAAAGCAATTAGCCGATAAAATGATTGGAAAAGATGCCCTAATTGTTTATGCATGCAGGAGGGCATTTAATCGGGCTTCAACATTGCTCTTACTGGCACTGACTCGTCAAAACCATAATTTATAATTCAATAATAATTGATATATAAATAAAGAAAGACACGTTATACAAATTGCATTTATGTAAAGCATAGTATGACAATGACCATGTTGTCATCTATATATTCGCCTTGATTTATTGCGTATCTATATATACATGATATTTCAAAACTGTATCGGCAGTGCTATACAACTGCATTCAAACAATTCTGTGCGCTATATTTTGCAATAGCTACAGAAAGTAAAAACATTATGGAGACAAATAATTATCATATGGCCAACACCGCAAGAGGATAAGCATCCAATAAGAATAATCAATTTTGCGTAGGTTGAATCACGTATTTGACGTATTTTTCGCAAACGTCTAACCGCTAACCGCTAGAAACCACGTGACCAGGAGCTTGCCGTCACGTTTGCCGTAAATCACGCTCACGTTTTAAACCTCAAGAATGCATTCTACAGGTAAGTGATTTACCTCAGCAATTTATTCAACTGTCATTACTTCATTGCACGTTATATGTAGTGATGGGCGATACCAGGATTTTTAATTCGATACCAATACCGATACTTTTAAGATCGGTATCGGCCGATACCGATACCTATTTCGATACCAAAATAAACACAAACTTTCAATTTTCGATACCGGAAGTGAATACTTAAATTGCTAGTATCGGTTACTTTCGATACCTGCCGGTCAGCGGAAAAACATTTTACATTACTGTATGTAAAATAAATAAAGCTATAAGTAAACCAAAAGCCCGAAAAGTAATATTTTCTATACATGACTTGGCGCACCACATTTGGAATATTAAGAGTTATTTTAGTGGTTCATTAAGTTTTATTCAACTAAGAAGTGAAATTAAACAAGTCGTTTAAAAAATGGTGCAAGTATCGAACGATACCACGTCAGTAATCGATACCGAAACCGTTGTTTGTGGTATCGCTGGTATCGAATACCGAGTACTCGGTATCGCCCATCACTAGTTATATGACATATATTAAGACAAATATACAATCATCTTATCTTTGATTTGGATGGATAAAAGTTGTTTTTAACGGGAAATGTTTCATATTCCGCGTGCTTTTAACCGAACCATGTATAAGTTCGATATATAAACAACATGGCGCCCAATCGACTCTCTAATTTATTTGGGTTAAACAAACATAAAATTTCGATTGTCAGTTCAATATTTTGTGGCCGATTTTGGTATGATAGATTTCTTAAATTGAGATTTGTTTATTTTAAGTCGTGGTTTGAATCGTTTTAATTAATAAACGTTTACATTTGAACATTCACGATAAAGCAAGTTCAAAATCATCGATGACCTTTTCACAGTCCATGTTTAAACATACTTACATAGTTACTTACATTTATACTTTCATATTTCAATTCATTTTAACAGATTGATATAGTGACATTTGTTTTTGACAGGATGGCACAGTTCAAATGGATCCTATAGTTTCGACGGAAAAAATTGAACGCGAAGAAAAAGTCAATCTTAATTTCATATTTGCAAGTACGGCAAACGTGAAACCGCTGACGGCAAACCGCGGTTTGCGGTCAGGCGTAAATAAAATAAACGTCAATCTTAAGGTGTCTAATGATATTAATGAGGCTTTACGTTCGCTTATGTGCTTACGTGCAGGTCAACTAATCGGATAAAGATTTGTCCTGATTTACATAAATTTCAGCTTTGAATTTCTCGGCTTAGGCAATGATTATTTTTAAAATTACTTCGCTAATGAACTCATTTCCTTCGGCTCGAGTTTGTATATCAAATACAGAACGGCTGCTCATGTTTAATTTATCTGGTACTTAAGAATAGCTTGCCGTGGTATCTTTAAGATTTTAAAAAGTACAAAATTATTGGTTGGAGTATTTAAGAAATTGGCAGGCAGGGCAGCATTTAAGAAACATCAGCGAAAAGGCGAAGACAAAATTATTCGTAAGTTAATTGTGAACTTGTCAAGTTCCTGAACTTGGCAAGTTCACAATTAACTTACGAATAATTTTTGCCCTCTATGATTAACGAGCAATCGCATAGTTCCTCGTAAAATTAAGGTTTAATTAATTTCACAGTGTGTGAAACTTTGAAAACACGCGTGAAATTAAACCTTAATTTTACTCGGCCCCATGCGATTTCCTATACAAATTTGAAACCACAAACGTTCGCGAAACTTTTAAAATCTTCTTAAAACTAAACTACTTTTTATCGAAAAAGTTTGAGTTTCAAATTTTGCCTTTAGCGTAAAAATAATTTTGCTTTCCTCTTTAGACTTTACTTAAAATTTTAAAACAATAAGAAAGGGTAATTGATCAATTACAAATACGATGAAATAATATTACAAAAGAGCGTTAAGTCGCTGGAGCTATAGTGATACGCATGTTTAGACGGTCCTACCATCATATGGCCAATGGAAGAGTTACTGTCCCTTGTTGCAAAACTGCGCTCTCCGTGCCAAGTTTGGCACAGCTTTATGTTCTGCCATAGCCAGCGTCAGAATAGAAATTGTTCGGAACAAAATGATTCTTTAACTGCTAAGAAAAATTCCTTGCACGTCGTTTGAATTTCTTTTTTGGGGGAAAATCAATTAATTTCGGACCCTCAGGACCGACCATCTCTGATTTTATGCACCAAATTACAAGAACAAAAAGTGCCATCGTTCGAATCAGCGTATGGAATTGTTCTTACGGATGCGAAATTCATTACTAAACAGCACTATTCTGGCGATTTATGGCCTTCTAAAGACAGGCGAAATTGTATTGTTGACATATATTTAAATAATTAAAACAATGCAGTACTTTTGATCCTTGATAATTTTCGTATCGTTCGTCAACTTCGTTCCCAGGGGTCTTTCTCAAAACGATAGATTCGTATCACTTTTCTCTTCATTTTGATAGTATTTTGATCCTACAATAGTTTATTTTGAAGATTTTAAAGCGAGCATAAGGTTCTTTCCCGACGAATGGCATTCGCTCGAAATGTCGCTCTTAAATTCGTTTTTATTGCAATCGAAATGGCTTGGATGGAAGAATGACAAGGCCGAATTGTTGACAGCCGACATGGGATGACAAAATGGCGCCGCATTTGGACAAAGTTGAGGTTTTACCTTGTCGATGGTTAAACAACTATAGTCTAGGACCTGTATATGAGTTTGTATGCATTTCATTTAGGACAAATAATCTCAACTGTTTTAGGGCAAGTTGACCATGACGGTCGACATGGTGACGCAGCCCGAACTCCAATCCAGGGCGAAACGTCCGAAACTGACCACACCCAAAAACGACGCTCTCGCCGTAGTGCTATCTACCAAACCATAAAAGCTTTGGCTATTCTGAGGTGCTTATATGGTTCAGAGATGGTGCTTTTAGGAGAGGTCATTGGTAAGTGTGAAATGCCTAGCACTGATATTTCACAAGAAAATGACCATGCAATACTCATAGTCAATTAAACGTCAATTTGTGACTTACAAATTCAGATAAACAGCAGTGGACCTACATTACCTTTATAGAAATATAATTGGTACTTATTTAAGTAGATTATCACTGCTTTGCTGTAAAGTAGTTATAATAATTTGAAATGTACCTACCTCCTGCAAATGGACGTTTTGGCAAAATTCTCCAATTTACTCCGCTGTTTATCGCCAATCCCGTTGAAATCCTTCCAAATATGTACGGCAGCTCAGACATAATGGTATCAACTACATTGTAAACAAGTTTTAAATAGGTTTCAAGCAGATCCTAGCTGTTTAACCATCGACAAGGTAAAACAAAACTTTGTCCAATTCGGCGCCGTTTAGTCATACCATGTCGGTTGTAAACAATTCGGCCTTGTTATTCTTCCATCCAAGCCATTTTCAATCCATAATAACAAATTGAACCCTTTGTTAAGGGTATCAAAATAAATATGTAAACAAAATAAAAAAAATGCAGCATTTTATCACCCTGTAGAATGTTGCTTACGTGTCTTTCAAAACATTCCGTACAAATCTCGCGTGGCAAAGCAAAAAGGCTGTGACAGGGGGGGTGGGGGGGGGTGAACTTTTTAACGAAGATAGAAGAAGGCTTCGTGAAATGGAGTAAAAACTAAATACAATCATACAAACGTTTGTTTTATTTCTTGTAGCGACAATATAAATATGTCATACTGTAAATAATTAAATGTTGATTGTTGGTCTTACTGCGTGCTTTTGCTTTGCTTTATATCTTCAAAGTCTCCACCACCCTGTTGCTTTGCCACGCGATATTTGTACGGAATGTTTTGAAAGACTCGTAAGCAACATTTTACAGGGTGATAAAATGCTGTATTTTTTTATTTTGTTTACATATTTATTTTGATACCCTTAACAAAAGGTTCAATTTGTTATTAGTGGAATGAAAATGGCTTGGATGGAAGAATAACAAGGCCGAATTGTTGACAACCGACATGGGATGACAAAATGGCGCCGAATTGGACAAAGTTGTGGTTAACGTTTTACCTTGTCGATGGTTAAACAGCTATGATCTGCTTGAAATCTATTTAAAACTTGTTTAAAATGTGCTTGATACCATTATTTGGATTCTTGCACTTCACTTGGTGGAATTAATATTAGAATGTTAGGGTTTGTAATCCAAGTGAGTATATATATAAATTTTAAGACCTAACCAAGAACGACTGCGAAGAATGCAGCACAAGGTCCTCTGGTAGGAATTGACACATCTCATTTCAAGGCCCACTCCACTAGAGGTGCCTCAACATCAAAAGTCAAGGCTAAAGGCCTGTCATGCCAAGAAATTATAGCAATGCCAAGATGGAAAAAGGTCTTCATGCACTTTCAAGCGACATTACTTGCGCAATATTATCAATAACACCATTAAAGCATTGTTTGAATTAAATGACTAGATTCACAATTTCACACTGCGCTGGAGCGGTTTTCAATCACATCTTTGTGCTTTCCAACTAGTACTGTTAACACTTAACAACCTTTCCAATTAGCCTTTCTCACGCCGCCATTTTTGGGTGGCTTTTATTCAGCCGAAGTCTGTGCGATAAGTCGACATCGACTTTTTATAATTTTTTGGACTAATGATGGTAAATTTGCTTTGTAAATGGTTAGTTTATTTTGAAAAATTGCTTTTGACATTGTTTTAATTGTCTGCGCTGGTTAACGAGAATTAGATGCCACCCAAAAATGGCGGATATTCGTCATTGTGAGAAAGTCTAAATTGGGAGAAATATTCCCTACTTGGGGCGTCTTGTGCAGCAACAGACATCTTGTGCACCTGATGATTCAACAACGACCATGTATACCTCAAACCCTAATTATCGAACCTAATTAATGAAGAGCATCAAAATATTTCAACAATGTCAAAACCAATCATTGTGGTTTAGCGTCGCACACGTTGACGGAAGTGCCAAAGATTTCCCATCGACTCCACGGGCCAGTACCACTATACAAAACAATATGAGGCTCGGCTTTGTTACCATAGTTCATATTCAAGCCCGTACCAATGACGTGAACTAAATCGTGGTGACATGACCAGAGCTGGCCAGGGGAAAGATGGTCGCAAACAGATATATGTAGTCTTGTCCAATCTTTAATGTCACCATTCACGTCCAGACACTTACTCAGGTTCTGGTTCTTTAATTGGTTTTTATTCGTCCACGTCCACCATTCATTTACGTCACTAGTGTCACATGACCTCGCTATGACGTCAGTGTTACTGACTGACATGCATTTGTCGTGATCAGCATTATAAATTTGAAACCCTGGGAAAAGGAAAATATATTATAATCAGATACAAAAATTAGTAAACGTTTGTACGTACACAATATACAATTATACGCAACACACGAAAAGGAAGTGCCCCCGAAATATTTTCAGGTAAATTCTATAGGTATATAAAAAAGTGCACGTGAACAGTTCTAAAATGTCCACTAAACTGTAAATTCGCAAAATGCTTATCAACTTTATGTTATGGTACGGGTAGTTTGGGGTCTTCTGGCATCTCTATCACAAAAGTATTCCGAAAAGTAAATTTTCGTGTTCAGCGAGGACTGTTTTTTAGAACCACTTTAAAAATGGCTTGCGCACAAAATTGTTTAGTTTGAAACACACTTTAATTAATAGACTGCAAATTTAGAATGAGTTTCGCGAACTGCCACAGTACCAAGTATGGTCTACATTAAGTCCAACGCGCGACCAATAAAACTTGGACTATTTTGACATACTAGCCTTTTACGCATAAATATTAAAACTTTTATAAAGAATATGTAAGAAATCAATCATGCATAAAATGCGTGTGATAAATTATGGGATTAATTAAAAAGATCAAATTATATAAAGATGGAAGATGGCAAAAGGTTTTGGTTATCAAATATTTCAAAAATTAAGAACGTTTGGGAGAATTTGTATATTGGATTTGTAAATAATCTCAGCAGAAAAACTCGTAGCTTTACTAAAGAAGCAGTTCCCATATTAAATATCAACCTGTCGCCAGAAATAACTAACATATCAACTCTTGCGGAGATCGGCCTTTTCCCTTTCAGTCTCAAAGTCACTCCCATTTAATGATCGATATCATTACATGAGAATGCTCATCACGTTGTTCTAGTGTGAAGCCCTTCAGTCTAGGGATTGTTTTATTTTTTTTTAAATTTTTGAATATCGCGTTTACTTAATTTCGGGCTGTAATTTACAAACTCTCTCGTCTCTAATAATAACAAACGATCTCGTCTCTAATGTTGAAATTTATGAATTGTGGTAGCACAGACGATTGTAAAGTATTGAGGAAAGCTGACGGACTTATACGGCGGTTTTAGGCAACCTCGCAAGCAAGGGCCTCCACACCCGCGGCGGGACGGAGACCCTTGTAAAGGCTGGTCACGTGACCTCCCAGATTCTGGGAGGTAAATCAAATTATACTGAGAGAGGGGTGGTTGAGGAGCGGGTTTGTAAATTTCTCATATTCGGGGAATATGAGAAATTTACAGACCCGCTCCTCAACCACCCCTCTCTCAGTATAATTTGATTTACTTCCCAGAATCTGGGAGGTCACGTGACCAGCCTTTACAAGGGTCTCCGTCCCGCCGCGGGTGTGGAGGCCCTTGCTTGCGAGGCTGGGTTTTAGGCCTTTCGATGAAAAGATATTGCGCATTTCAGCCACTTATTTGCGACCTAATTGTGGAAGCAAAACTAATTTCCAACTAAACAAATTTTAACATAAAAATGTTAGGAATTGGCGTCGCGGTGATGTGCGATTTTTAACATTAAACAACTTTTCTCAAAACAATATATGGAATCTGGGGCAGAATCTGTTGGAATCATTAGTCTTTGACGTGTTGGAAACCCGGGCTTATGGATGGTACATGAGACAATTTTTGCAACAACTTGAAACGCAACAATCTGTTGCCTTTAAAGTTGCCAGCAATATTGCCTTGTGTAACACCACAGAAGAATTTGTAACTACCATACCTTTTTGTTTTGAACAAATGTTATTTCCCTCACCGAACACTTGCCATTTACTCCAGGATCCAGCGCCCTGAAAAAGTACCACGGAATCTCCACCTTGAACGTTACCAAAGTTAAGATTCAAAATAGTGCCTTTCGGTCTCAACATATGATCTGCGCATATCCACATCTGCCTCACTTTTTGTCGATCACATTTAACTACCTCAACTCTCGCCCAATTGCTTGGTTTATCTGGTACGCTGAGACATCCAAGGCTGAAAATATTTTGAATCTGTCCAAATGGGGTCCAACGCCACACCTTATTTGGCGAAGGTAGGTCACATGACCCGGCGGTTAGAACAGAGTCTTCAATTGTTACACATTTATTCAGATCGGCGTTGTAGATTAGAAACTCGTTCCTACGGAGTGCTAGACAAATGAAAAGTAATGAGTGAGATGCCTTGACAAGCTTTGTGTTAACGATGCCTGGTTCACATACAGTATGTCATCGAAAGTAGTGATATTTTCGCAATGCCATTGCCTTGCATTATTGATGAGTGAAATTCTATATCTGGCACCTGAAATAATTTCTTTTTAATTGAGAGATAAGATAATTTAATTTTACTCTTTCATTACATAGCGCGAATTAAAAAAAAAATTAGAAATACTGAAATTAGAGTAAAGGCTACCTATAATAACTACATTATTATATAAAAGCTAACCAAGTTAGGTAGCATGCACGTGTGATTCAACTTGGAGACAAAACAAGATGGCAGATAAGAAATACAATATAAAAAGAAAAAAAAACTTAGCTCACTAATACATCAAAAAGTTATCATAGAAGAAAAACAACAAAAAAACGACACATACACATAAATATTAAGTTATTTACATGAAAGTATAAATATTGTACCATCAAAGATGTCTACAAAGCCAGATTCGCCAAAGGTACGTTTGATGGAGTGATTTTTTAAATGACGCCTTAAATTTATATCTTTTTAAGGATTTTATTTCACCAACAATAGAATTCCAGATTACGCTGCCACAATAACGCATGTTAAACTTGCCATTTAAACGACAATGAACATCAAAACCTTCTTTTTATATATCGCTATAAGTTTCGGAAACTTATTAAGTTTGGAAGGAATATCTAGTTAAACTCACGTGGTAAGGTAGGCGTCGCTGTTGAGATCTCAATTGGTGTTGATGGATTAGTCGTTGGCTGAGGAGTCGTAGGTGGCACTGGTGTCGTTGTTACAATAACATCTACAAAATTTGTTTGAAGGAAGCTTATGAGTCAACAGCAAAGAGATTTGCAATCCTTCTCGTATCTTGTCGAACGTGAGTTGTCAATAACATTTTTTATACTTCATAGCTCTGTCAGTTCAGAATTGTTCTTCGCACTGGTAAAGTAATAGCCATTCATTAAATCCAGTGTTACGTACAATGGGAAACCTAAACTACACAAACTTGCTTTGTACTGGATAGCGCCATCAGTTCTAAATTGCTCTTGCTAGAGGTTTAGTAAGGGCCATCCCTGATTGCTGCAATACTACAACAGCAGGAAGCCTAAACTAACAAGCTTTATAAATGCGGGGGAGGGGGGGGGGCTTCATCAATTCCCTTAAAGAGAGTATTTAGCATTACCTAAAAGAGAAGTGTAGAACCACGAAAAATTCCATGGTATTTCGTGGACTTATGGAAACACTCGTCTAACACAAGACTTAGGCAAAATTTAGACTTTTACGAAAACAGCAACAATACAAGCTGAAGGTCCCAAACCATGTCGCAGACACAGAATACTACACAGAAGTCCAACTCCATTGTTTTTTGCGTAAGCGCTATTCGTCACTCAGCAAGTACCGTAAACAGAAGCAGTCATCCCCCTGGATGTGCGTCATTTTTAGTATTTCCAGGGGGGACTGCTTCTGTTACGGTACTTGCTGAGTGACGAATCATGAGAATAGAGCTTACGCAAAAAACAATGGAGATGGACTTCTGTTTAGTATTCTGTGTCGCAGAAGTTAAGTTCCATTCAAAATTCACCACTGCATGGAAATATTGCAATTGCGCAAGGCATGAAATCTCCACTTATCTTCTATATACCTTTTCTTTTTTCACACACGGGCAGGTCCTCTCCATAGACCTTCCATTTACTCCAGGTCCCAGTCCCTTGAAACAGCACAATGCTGTCTCCGCCTCGACTATTCCCGTAATTCACGTTCAGTATTGTACCATTCAACCTTACGAAGTCATCTGTGCATGCCCACACTTGATGGTTGTCATGGCAATCACACGTGGACAATTTCAGACGATCCCAGTTCACTGGTGTTTCAGGTGCGCTGAGACATGTTTGGCTGAAACTATTTTGAAGTTGGTCACATTGTGTCCACCGCCACATCTGATTAGCAGATATCAGGTCACATGGCCTCGCAGTGATGATATCGTTTCCAATCATTGAGATGCACTTGTTGTGAGCAGCGCTGTAGATGAGAAAACCTTTGGCTGATGGAGCTAAAGACCAATGAAAATACGCGTTAATAGAGCGATTACAGGTCACTAATAATATATATAAAAAAATTTGGACACCAACATTTGAGACATCTTTTTTCAATTAGTTCGGGTGTCAATCACGGTAGCTCATCTTAGAATAATATACCCAGGGCACCGAGAGAATTTATGGGGCCCGGGCCAAACCTCCTTGGAGGCCCCATGACATCATTATTTTTAAGCTAGACCCAAATAGACCTTAGCTAGACTGCATGTGGAGGAATTGTAAGGTGCCCTCAATTTCAAAATTGCTCTGACCAATTTAAAGAACATACTCAATTTTAAGCTCTCGCACTCAAGTTGGGGCCCTATTAAGGTGGGGGCCCGGGGCAATTTGCTCACCCCCCCTCCCTGCCCCTCTCTCTGCGGCCCTGAATATACCTACACTGTTAACACCCCTTGGTTAAAAATATACTTCAGGCGATATTTTTGGCCAAACGTATAATTTTCACCAGAACATTTTGGTGATATTCCACAAAAGGTATCACGTTTCTACAAACTTTCGTGAAGAATTATGGGCACGATTTCGCAATTGAATGATGTTCTGCATGTATATAATTTTAAGTGCACTTACTTGGAGTTGTAATTTCCGTTGGATTTCTTGTAGACGGACCCAATGTTGTTGTCGGTTGTTGGGTAGAAGTTAGCTTCGTTGTCAACTGCACTGTCGTTTGCACTGTAGATTGTGTCTGCGGAGTCGTTGAAAGATTATCTGGAATAAGAAGTAATATTTCAAATCCGACTATGAGCCTGGACTAGATTTCAAGTGCGAGGACTTGAAATCTAGTCTAGTCTGAATTGGACGATTTGAAATCACATCTCATACGAATCAATCACTACGAGTGAGGTACATTAATTTTGATCCAGTCCAAGGACTCAAATAATTTTGATCAATATACTTGACCAGGTTCCTAGGACTGGATCAATATACTTGAGCAGCTATCCAGTTAATCTATGTGAACAAAATAAAGCAATATGGTTGGATAATTTACTCATGAATTAGTAATGCGTCTGAGATGTATTATTTAAATTGCCTTTCTAGTATTTTCTAATGTAGCAAACTATGTTTTTTGTCAAATTTATCTAACGCCAAAATATGGCCATAATGATATATAAGCCAAAAGCTATACCGTAAGAATGTATCCCGCTTCTGTTGAAAATAAAAAATTATCTTGTGTCTCGAAAGAGTTTTATAAGACATTGGATAAAATCCTTTTCTAACCGGACTGAGCAGCTTGCAGAAAATACACTCTTGCTTGGCATCATTGATGGTATATGACGGAATGATATGGGTAGTTTTTGACTGTCGAAAAAAATTGATTTTTGAATCTTCTCGTCAAGGAAACAAACAAAGGATCTCTGCTTTACCTAGCAGCGTGTTTGACCACTGAGCTAAAGGGCCGCCCAAACGAGACACTCGGGGTATCAGCTGCACATATACGATCAATACGTCAGAAAAATATCACGTACAAATTCAGTTTTTTAAAGATTGCCGGATTATATCACGGGGTAAGTTACGTTTGATGATGCTATTCCGAGTGGCTCCACAGCGAAATAACTAAAGAGAAAAGCTTGACCGGGTGAAGAATCAAACCAACGACCTGTGCATTGTTTACTCGTTCTTGACTTGTTTTGACTATATATACCTTTACGTTTTTCACAGATGCTCTTTTCTTTACCAAACAGCTTCCACTTACTCCAGCCACCAGTCCCCTTAAAAAGAACTACGTAATCTCCACCTTGAAAATTACCAAAATTCAAGTTCAGCGTTGTGTCGGCCAGCCTGACGAAATCGTCCGAACATGACCATATTTGGAGACCATAATTTTTGTCACAAACCGCTAGCTCAACTCGTCCCCAGTCTACTGGAGGATCAGGCGCGGTCAGGCATCCGAGCGTAAATATATTCTGCAGCTGGCCATATTTCGTCCACTTCCACATTCTATTAGGAGATGCCAATGCACAAGTCCTAGCGGTGACTTTACTTAAACCATCAATGCTGATGCATTTGTCGTGTGCTGAATTGTATATCATAAAGCGTTCTCGATTTGTAGCTAAATACGACAAAAGAAAATGATAAACCACAGCACAGTGAAGGAAACACGATGTACTGCATGCTACTATAAAATTCTACTCAAGGACACTTTGTTCGTCTTCGGACATCTCAATACAACGATAGTGAATTTAGAAGTGAATATCCAATCGAGGAGCAGAATGCTGAACGGTTTTGTTGATGGAAATTTCAAGCGAAAACTATATGCCAAAAACAAAACCAGTTGCAATAAATTCATGAATGTATTCTACGGTAATGATAGAAGATTATATATTCCCGATTTGGCTACATCGCTCGATAAGGCAGATTTCAAGGGAAAATGATATAGATATTTTAGACCTGACTGGGCGTAACTAGTGACAAATTGGGGCATAGTTGCTTTTCTCAAACATATTTCTGGTTATTTCTAAAATATGCACAGAATTTTCGTTCGAAATTTTTTAGTCCATCGACGAAAGCCCTTCAACAGTAGGTCATGTCTTCGTTACCATTACAGATAGTACTCATTATTGGTTAATTGAAGTTTTGTGGACATAATTTGCATAATTCTGGCAGTAAAAATTTGCCTTCAAAAAAATTCATGAACGGCCATGTTTTGAATATTAGAGCACCTTAAGAAGTGTTAAATGTTTTAAAAAGGCATGATTGATGATACATACACGACGTAGTTCGAGTTTCAGTAGTTGTTGGATTTAATGTGCTCGTCTTCTCTGTTGTAGGTGGTAAAGTTGGCCTGGCAGTACTTGTCAATGTTAAACACGATTGGTTATTAAAACGTATATCATCCAACGCCATATCACTGCGAAAATTAGAGCCTTTCGTTGCAATGAAGCGTATCTAGAAAATAAAGTAATATTTTCCCCATTTTATTTTGACTCACAGCAACAATTTTGTAGTTGTTCTAAAGTATTGTTTCTTTGCTATCCTACGAATATGTAGTTGATTATAATAACACCATGACAAAAATTGGTGAACTATACACCTATCACGAGACCCGAAAGTTCAGGTTTCTAGTGCACTTTCGGTTATAAAAAACCGTTAATTCTGAAATATGTTGATACATGCAGAGATATTACAAGTTTTTTTATTTGAAATATGGTAGTTGATTCACGTTTTTGTGAATTCTGGATTAGAAATCTTGCGAAACAACAGGTGTTCAAAACCGGAACTGCGGTAAAATCGGGGATTTTCGATGGTTTCGAGCTACAGTAGTGTTAAAATGTAATATATAGGGAGAAATAAATGTGGTGTGGAATCTAGGCTTTCAATAGTTTGAAAGTTTCAGTATCAAGAAATGTGTGCAGCAGTGGCGACGCCAGGATTTTATTTTAGGGGGCAACTTAATAATTTGTTACATCACAAAAGAAGGGGAGGGAGTCCATGCAGGAGTATGCTCCCAGGAGAAAAAAATTGAATGTTAGGTCACTCTAGCAATCTTAGGCATTTCACGCATTGTTGAGGCACTTGTGAAAAGGGGGTGAAATGTGCAAATGTCTGGGCGGATGAGAACACAGGTGTCTCAAATTCACAATCAAATTTGATATTCAGGTAGCTTGCCATAAATTCGAACCGTATTTATTCAAGGTGATCAAACTCTCAATGCATTATCCATATTCTCTCTCCTGTTTTTCGGTTGTGAATTTAAATCGAGCTGACTATGCAGAGGGTCGTAAGGCGAGGTAATTTCGTTAATAACCAATTTTGTTCTTGTGAAATGACTGTGTCGTGAAACGTGATTTACATGCCCTGCGGGAAAAAACTAATTTATTCGAGGCAGGTAACAAAGACTGGACGACTAGCGAGAAGTGCAATGGTCAATGATGTAACAATTTTAGTGCAAGAATGCAATCCCATTTTCTTAGTGAAAAAATAGGCAAATTCACCTTAAATAGCGTGTTGCTGGTAATTGTAACGTTAGAATAGTGCCATGACCTTCCCTGATTACCAATCATCTCCCAAAGTTTTTCTCCGTTACTTTGCAGCGAAAGCCTGTCCATATTTTGTAAATAAACACTTAAGTTTCCCATAGTATCTCCGTACATTGAGAAGTAGAACAACATGCATGTTGCCTGGGTTGGAGCGAAGATTTTGCTATCCACGATCCCTTGTTCTCCAGGTTGGACAGGAGACGAACTTTCAAAGTAGATATAGCGACCTAGAAAAGTACATTACCCATTTCAGACATGTTTTGATATTCTAGTTGATCAAGTAAATTTAAATTTATACGGTACATAAATATGCGCAATGTTGCAGCTTTTGTATGCTGCGGGAGAAATTCTCCCAAACAAAGTAAGCTACCAAAGTAAAAAATTTGGACTGGTCAAGTTACTATAATATTATTTTTTACTTTTAGTTTATAAAATAGAACTAAAATTATCAAATGTTAGCACAATGGATACTTTTTGTCTTTGTTTGATCATCCTAATGATACTCATATCTTAATTGGTATTGTAAGATTTCTTCAGGAAAACCATTGTGAGTTTGGGTAGAAAATTGTTGGCCGATTTACCGACAACATATGGTACTGCATAGTTTATAAAAAGATGTCCGATTGGAAACGGAATGCTGCAATTTATGTACAGTTAGATCTCAGCTTCTATTTAACCCCGCCCCACATCTTCCAAAGCTCGTTGTAAAAACACAACATTGTTCAATTCTAATCTTCATGTATGTACATCACCTCCTTTAAGACCGCTATTATCCCCCACCGGTCCAGTTCCTGAACTACTTGTTTCTCCTGACCGCAGATACCATGGCTTCTTTAAATTATGCCATATACACCATCCTGCCTCATCGTCAAAATCACAATCATCTGGGCCTAGGTTAGAACAGGGTAATGAACCGCTACACGAATAGGCATTAAGCTCCCGTCAAGCGAGAATGGGAGTGGATGATAAATGGCAGTCACTAATTGTTACAGGGGACATATATTCAAGCTCTAGATTAAAAAAATAGGTTTGATGAATGTTTCAACTGCATTAACTTTGGGAAAGCATTAGGAACAGCTGCCAAAGGTCACATGCTTGTAACACTCGAATCCTGGTTTCATCGAGGCTTTAATTTTATACTTCTCATGGCATGCTTATCATTTATAGACCTGGAGTGTCTGCCCGAAATAATGATATTTCCTAAGGGTAAAATTTCGCCGAATCCCCCGAGCGGAGGGTCTATATACTTGATACATTATACCAAAAATTAAAAACCTCCAAGTTGAGATTTGAGAATATAAGACTTGCCTCATACCTTCGGTTTTCACAATCACTCGTTTGCAACCATCAAACTGACATTGATCAAGTTCTAAAGTTGTTTCTTTTCGGATTTTTTTCTTAGTTTGGTTAGGTTTAAAGTTAGGGTTGCGGCTAGGGTTAGGGGTTAGAGTAGGGGTAGGGTTTGGGTTAGTTACATAACCATTTAACACCTCTTCCATTTTCCGACAATGACGTCATAACAGTTTGGTGGTTGGAAACGAGTACTGGCCGATACCTTCGTGAATATGGTGTTTTATATTTTGATTAGCAAGTATTTGTCACTTTTCTTTCCAATCACATATTGGTTGGAATATTGATGATAACATTTTTCAAAATTTGCTTTAAAATTAAAAAAGAGCATTCTTTGAAATTTAATTCAGCACCCCTCAGTAATATATTTTGTCGGCCATCTTGAATGCGTGATCGCCGCGCGTGGTTTACGCGAATCAGATCATCCATGTGATATGATTGAAATCACCCACTATGTCAAATACGATGACGTAAGACGTGATTCGATGATTCACTGTTTGGACACAAATTTGAATTATAAATATAAATCCAGTGAAGGCTATGAAGATACTAGACTGGAGTGTCGAAACGTTAGCTCGTGAATGCAATTCGACTGGGTTTCGCATTCATATTTTATAACCGAAGTAGCGAGCGAAAACATGACTGATATTGTACCTGATGGTTGCACTGTTGCAGTGAACTCAGAAACTGTAAATACCAGAATGTCATGCGGTACAAATGCCGCTTGTGGACTGGAGAATTTAAAGTTGAGGTAAAATATTGAAATTTTTTATTGTATTTAATTTCTGGCCCTTTCTTGAATACCATGCGGCTCCGTGTCGTATAGCTTTTGCCCTGCATGCATGTAAACGCGCGAGGGTTTCTAAACGCGTCTATTATATTAACGTTGGTTCACGCGGTCACGATCTAAAAAATCAATGTCAAACAAATACCTAAACTGCATTTCTTATAAAAACAGTCTTTGCTCTGTGCCTCAATGCCAGTACAATCTTTCCCGCCATGACTTGGAGGAGGGTCTTCACATCTTCGTGTCCGCTGTCTCTTTCCAGGTCCACACAGTGGACTGCACGCTGACCATGATGACCACCTTCCCCAGTGACCATCTACTGGAGCTAAAATGATAACAGAAATTAGGTATCAAGAACTCCCTGGGCCGGGGGTTTGAATACCAACAAAGATAATGAATCTACAATATAAGCTAGCTTTCTCAATTGATGGCACTTTCACCAACAATAGCTATTACGAACTTGTATTTATATTACTTGACAAGCAACGAAGCGACTGGAACTACAATAATTACAATAATAAATGCGATATAATTGAAGGGCTTTCAAATTTTTGAAATGCTTTTGATGGAACGAACCCATGCAAGGCAATGTAGTCAAATTTTACATTTGGCCCGCTTGTGTGTATGGTGCAACTATCTGAAACATAAAAACAAGCTTCGGCGTTACGAGCGAAGGCTCTTCGTCTGAAATCCTTTTGTCTGAAAGAGCAGCACTGAGAGAAACTTGATAAACCAATCAAATCTGAGGTGCCTTCTAAGAGCTTATATACAGTTTTTAGTTTTGTTCATTTTAACACTTTTTTTCTTCAGAATCTTTGGAATGATAAGGTCTGGGTGGGAGACAGAAGATGAGAGAAGGGATATTGTGAAAAGAGATTTGAGAGTGTAGCTAAACATGGTTTCAAAGGAGAGAGTGTACTAGCGTGAATGTATCAGAGAACTGTATCCAGCAGAGTCAATAGTTTGGAAGGCCGGATTATGCACGCCAAAGTTGTTTAGAGAAACTTGTTCAGATATATGCTTCAATCTTACCATAACACTCCTTATCAGAACATTTCACAGTTTCAGTCTGAATCCCATATTGGTCAGCGGCTGGACAATCTTTAGCTCGGTCTCGTGATGAACAAAACCGCTGACGGAACTTATCGCAGTAAGACGAACATGGACTAAACTCAGACCACTGACTCCAAGCACCAGATGCAGAATCTATATATAATTGATTAGAATATTATAATATGAAATTAAGTGCACAAGAGATATACTTTGGTATAATAATTTCTCCAAATAAACGCAATTAATTCAGTTAGTGCCAGATTTAATATTAGACATGTTTTGCTTGCTACTCTGGTTTAAATAGATCTAAAGAATGCAAAACTTACAACTTGCATCGAGGACCCAATATTTCATCACTTCAGTCTAATCTCCTGATCACGGGTAGTCTGCGCTGGATCGAACAGATCCCCCTATCGATTGACGTTCCTTTGAGTATATAGGGGGCTACGACGTGACTTTATATCACTCCTGGTGGAAACATTAAACCAAAGAGATTCGAAACATTCGACCAGGATTTGAACTCATTTACTTAAAACCAGAATAGCACTCCAAAACAAGTCCGGCGATGTCAAATTACTTCATGGTTGCGAACTTTCTTCTACACGGATCTCGCGAAATGCTTGTTAAATTAATTCGATTATTTGTTTCTGTGTACTTACCAGTACAATCATATATTGCATTAATTTTGATGACATCAGTTTCACTCAACCTTATTCTCTGTCCCAGTGTAAGTTCAGGCTGGTTTATCGCACGTATAGTGGCTTGACCTATAAGCGAATCAACATTGAGAATTCGACTGCTCAATTCAGAACGTCGCTGAGCAAATCAAGATGAATATATCAGGATTTTTTTTGGACATGACACTCACTTAATTTCTTAGATTAAATTATAATTTTATACATTTAGTTAGACATTTAATTAAAAGGGATATTATATTTTTTTTTTTGGAAATAAACAACATTACCAAATGTCATGTGCATGGTAACACAATGTTTACATTTTTACGACAATAAAATTGAGCAATCATTTAAATATTTTGATACACAAAGTTTGTTCCAATATATACTAAGTATGAAAGATAGAAATATTCTGAAATTATCTCCAAAATATTGCTACGATATACTAAGAACTTTTGATATAGGCTATTGCATGAGTTAGCCTGAACAAATTATTTGTAATATAAATTTATATACTGTAATGTCTTTTTTATACTTTATATTTTGTAACTAATGTATATGTAGGTATTCAATGTACCAATATTGGTATTTGTTTGAATAAAGTTTCTTCGTAATTTTATAAGACCTCTGGCAGGAATCGAACCTGCGGCCCTGCGTTGCCCAATTATTATCTATATACCTTACCATGGGATTGGTATATATACAGTATATGAACGTGCGGTATTATAATATTTTGGCGACGACTAACGCTTATCTTAGAGGACACGCAATGTCGTCGTGAAAATATAGTAATTTCGTGTACTTAAATTGAACAACACTTGCTACCAATCTCCCGTTGACGCGATGTGAGTTCGAATCCCGCTGAAAACAACGAATTACTCGGCATTGTCAGAATAATATAAACCTATTTTCATATGATGCATGAAAAACATGCCTACATTACCTTTTGGGGAATTGATAATTAAGCACTAATCTTTTAATTACTTTTCCCATTAATTTTGTAAAAAAAAAATAGTGTTATCATGACAACTCGTGTTACTTAACGCGAACACGATCCTGCGTTCTATCAAGTTGCATGCAGTACTTCATGTCGCAACAAAGACTGCAGATATAGTTGCTATAGGTTGGAAAGGCGATGGGTTACTGCAAGGATGCATTTCTAGAAGTATACTCATGCATGACATATAAGACTTACCATTCTTGGAAAACGCATATTTCTCATAATGCATTAAGCTTTTGAAATCGTAATTAGTTCGAAGGATGTCAACCGTGCCATGGCTGTATTTATTAAAATTATGCTGTTTGTCTGTTAATAAAGAGGAAGGAACGTCAAATAAGTTAATTGGTATCAGATTTTTGTCCGAAACAAGACGTTTATTTTCGAACCGGATGCCCGGATCGACATCATTACAAATATCTTGTATAATTGTAGGCTATAATATAATATCTTGCATTCATTTTCGCGAACATAAGTATACTTAACAATTATTGAATGAGGTTGAGCACGATATATCAAGCCCGAAGTCAATTCCTTAGTCTTTCGGCAGCCGTCGTCGTCGTCATACATACCAGTCGTCGTCAGCGAGTCAATATGATTCTCGTCGTCATAGTAATATGGCGCAAACGCGTCCTAATTCTTTCATATTGATTCATATTGACTCTTTGACGTCATTTTGCTAATACAGTATGAATGTGAAAAATCCATATTTGGTTAGTCATTGAGTTGATATGACAATTTCACAGTTGGCTGTTAGCCAATGAGAAACCAGGAAATTTTTTAATAAATAATAAATAAATATAACGTCTACGAGCACGAGCACTGAATGAAATTGCAGATCAGAGTGTCGAAACTATGGTTATGACTGGCCATTGCATTAATTTACATTTGCCGCGTTATCTGGACATGCAGGGATGTGTGTCGACCGCATCACTATATAATTGCAATTTAAAACAACAAATACGATTGAATTGTTACCTAACGGTATATTTTCCCAGAATATTTGAATATATTCATTTCTATCAGGTCTTGATTGTTCGTGCCAAAATCCTATGGCATGCATCAGCTCGTGCTTCGCAGTTCCAGCATGATTGCAACCACGACCTAGAGATATTTCTTGAACTCCTGCCCAACGCTGTTTTCCAACCCGAGACCAACAACTATAAAGGGGATGAGCAAATTGCGTTGAGTAGTGTTGCGCAACACCAAGCAAGTGCTGCCTTAATTTGAAATCAGTTTAATTTTATGGCAAAACGTTAGACGTCTTGCAATCTGAGAGCCCAAATGCATACAACGATGTAGTACACTGAAACACAGGCTACTGACTCTTCCACAGTCCCTAACACTGCTTATAACGCAAAGGACCATGGGAATACCCCGAGGTGCATTCCCATCATTCAGCGCGCGTTGGGTAATTCAACGCGCGTTAAGTAAGCGACTGGGGACGAGTCAGCACAGGCTATAGGGTTCCCAGTTTTGTAAATATAATATTCGGAAAATATTGTATTGTTTTTGAACGCAGCAATAAGCTCCTTAGAAATCACTAATCATTTCTCGCAGAGCTTGTAATCTATAAAAATCGAAGCCTTTAACAAACTAATCAGTATTTTTTACTAAATCCTGTATAAAATGATACGGTCTTCATATTTTATTAATATTTTAACATAATTATATTTTATTGTAAACTTCTGCTTTATCATCTATCCTTCTTTTTGTAAATACCATATATTCTAAAAATTACTTTTTAAATTATCTTTAACTGCAAATATATTAATTAACCTCATTATGAACCACAAATATAAGGGCCTAAACAAAAAAGCCTGTAAAGGTTTCTGGTAAAAATAAAAAAAAAAATCTCGCCATTTGCCAGCGGGCAAAATGACGTTTATCCAACGTTGAATCAACGTTGGAAATGACCTTCCAGACGTTGGATAGACGTTGAAAAAGGGTTGACTATGCAAATTGGATCGACGTTACTGTTTCGACGTTGAAACAACGTTGAAATTAGGTTGCCAATCTCGTCAACCATAATTCAACGTTGAATCCACTTAAAACAACGTTGAGATTGGTTCACAAATCAACGTCGTACATTTAACCATGAATGAACGTTAATTCAACGTCTGTTGGCTGCTGTTGAACCAATGTTTGTAAAACAACGTCAGAGCAACGTAGATACTAGGTTGTCGACGTCGCAACCTTTTTTCTACCAAATTTCAACGTTGAAACAACGTCGTGTGCCCGGTGGGTTGTTTCTTGAATTTCGGACTAACATAGCCGCACCAATTTATAATTAATCACTGTCTATTAATTTAATGGTGGAAACATGAACAAATGAATTTCATTCATACATGAAACTCACCCCGATTTTCTTACAAATCGTATCCAGTTTTTCTCATTTGTATGTGGAACGAACTTTAAACACGTCTTTTCGTGGAATTCGTTTATCGCTGCTTTAACTGTTCCCTTTAATACGGCTACAAAAAAATAGAATGTGGAGAAATGAGGCATGCTGCTTTGTTGATACCGGGAATTATAGCATCGCCATGATAGCATATACATTCTAAATTTATGATTTTGGACACTGTACAATCACAAAAATTGCAGGTAATTAAAAGTGTAGAATCACAAAACTAGAATTTCTGCATGCTTAACGTGGCTCCCTTATAAGGTTTTTGCATTATGCTATACAGGGTGTTAGCCAGAAGAAAAAAGTTTTGTCCGTTAAACGTAAATTGGGAAAGTTTTTTTGACCGATCAAAGTCCTTGTGTAGGAATAAATAGTGTTTTTTTTCCAACGTGTTTCTCCTTAGATGCAAACAACGGCAGCTTGGTGTTGTACATTTCATTTCCAGTGAATGAACACTGAAAATGCACTCGATGGCACTTCGTTTTGTATATTTCATTTCCGGTGAATGGAAACGGATGCACACCGATTACACTTTATTTTGTACATTTCATTTCAGTGAATACACACCTAATGTGAATGAAACGCGATACATTTTGAGAAAATAGTTAATGGGAAAAAGTAAATAAAACGTTCTTTGATATAATAATATAAAATCAAATGCAAATGCACTTTCTCATAGACAAAATGAAAATCTTCTAGTAGACCCAGTCGGAAAAGCCCCTTAGCTACTTCAATTGGCAAGAGTCCGTCAAACGGACAGTACATGGGCTAGCTAACACCCTGCTATACCATGTACTGTAATTCAGGAGAACCCTTTTTCTTCATTTTACATGACATGCATAAAGACAACATTAAAGTTTATTGGACACATTGACAATGCCATCCTATAAACATTACAATTTGCTGCCTTTGTGTTGAAAGACCGTTAGCATGGCAGCAGCGCGCTTGAAATAAAGCTCCGGCCATTTCAAAAATCCTTCGCTAAATGTTTCAAAAAGTTTGCACAAAAGATAATACTGGTATAATGATTTTTTCTTTTATCTTATACAATTTTACAAAATTATATCGATATAGGTTTTTCAGAAAATTTAGAATAACGTCCAAAAATTCCCTTCGATAGACTTTTTATGAAAAAAGGATATTGCACCTGTTAAGCCGATATTCAAGAACTGTTCAAAGTTTTAAAAAATTCACCGAAGGAAAGGGAGAAATTTAGGTTTGATTTTGGTATCTTTTTGCGATGTGCGACGTGTACAATAGTCGAAAATCTCGCGTCTCGCATGTGGTCCTGAATACATGCACTTCGTAAAAACAAGGAAGGATTTTTTCAAATTACAAATTGTATAAATAACGCTTGATCTATTGTTTTACAGTGTCGGTTGTTGGTCAACTAAACGTAGATTACTAGGCCTACATGCATGTAAAATTGCATGGCAAAGATAATTAGGTAATTACTGGTTATGAATTGTTAGTATTAATTTGTTCAACAATTGATGCCAAAGTTATTTCCGTACGAAAGAGCGCCCATCAAATTTCGCTCGTAGAGGGCTCATTAAGTCTCTTTATTGTCAGAAGTGAAATTTACATTATCTTTTTCTGAAACATGCAGGCCCAAGTATTCGCTGTCGTTTTAGAATTCGTTTTATGGTTGAAGCAAAATTCACATCACGTTTGTATTTTGAAGTCGCGCGAATTACACGCGATATTTAGGACCTGTTTACACTATGACGCTATACGGCAAATCATTGGGCAAATTGACCGTAGTGTATATCCCGGCGTAGTGTACCATACTAATTGATACGCTACGGCAAACACTCCATCATAGTGTAAACACAATGCGAAGAAACGTATGCTAACCGTATGCTCGACCAATGAAAGCGCTTGAATTCTTAACGTTATTATATAAGTATTCGTAGATGGGTTTTCTTGTGTTGTAATTTGAACCCAATGAGCTATATATATATATATATATATATATATATATATATATATATATATATATATATATATATATATATATATATATATATATATATATATATATATATATATATATATGTATACATATATATATATACATTTATTATATGGGTATGAGTAAAATACCGTAAAATACGCCACTGATATTTTCCGTATTTCACTATAGTGAAATATGAAATCATATCTTACGCGGGAACGTCTCGCGCGGGACCCACGCTAATTCCCGCCATTTTGCCGTTTCTGTTTTGAATATACAATATGATAACTTCTCGACATTTTGTTGATGTTTTCGACGCTGATTTGGCAAGGTTTTCTGAAGAAAATGAAAACACAAAAGGGAAGACTAATTAGTCCCATTTGGCGATCTTCAGCGACTATTTAGCCTCGATTAGCAAGCGGAGAGGCATAAACATTGTTGCCGTACGGTGAGATACAAAACAAAAAACAAAACTTGAATAAACTAATAAAGTCATACGTTTTGTTGTTTTTGCTTCAACTTTTATCCATATAATAAAAAGAACATTTCACGGTGGCTTTGGAAATATGACTTTTATTTTCTCGTGTTGAAAACAATATTTTACTCACTCGCTGCGCTCGTTCGTAAAATATTATTTTCACCACTCGAAAATAAAAGTCATATTTCCGTGCCACCGTGAAATATCCTATATATATATATATATATATATATATATAT